CATTCTGCTAGACTTCGTGTCTGCTAAACCTTTGAGTCCTTTTGTGATAAGCGGCCATGTTTGAGTACATCAAAGAGCTCTCACTGTACTCAAACAGAAGAAGGTCTCTGTCGCATCCTGTCGTTATCTTACCACTCGTAGATAATAAACAAAGGTTTTGGAGGTAAATGAATAGGTCACTGTTCTCTTTGTAAACATGGGCAGAGTCATGTGATGGCCAGAGTTTGGAGCATTACATTCCACTCCAAGTTACTGCTACATTATATATCGCCTTGCTTACGGTATCGCAGTATATTGGGATATATCGTATCGTGACCCCTCTGTCATGATATGTATCGTATCGCCAAATTCTTGCCAATACACAGCCCTAGTAAGCCCCCATGGAAAAATTTACCTTTTTTTTTTTGTCAGTCAGTCCAGTGAAACTCATATATGTCAAAGATTCTTTACACATTGAGTGAAATATTCCAAGCCTTTATTTCTTGTAGTTTTAATGATTGTTTTACAAATATTGAAGAAGAAAAATCCAGTGTCAGAAAATTTGAATATTACAGACAGTTTTTAGTACTTTTTAGAAGTGTAGTCAGGAGCCAAGTCCTAATTAACTCTAACATGGACTACAAATGTCCCATTCCTGAAGTCAAGCCACTCTGAACCAGAGATGATGTCAGAAGTGTCTCATCTGGGCTGAGGAGACAAAGAACTGGACCAGTCAGTGGTCCAATGTCCTCTTTTCAGATGAAAGTAAATTTTGTATTACATTTGAAAATCAAGCTTGCAGAGTCTGAAGGAAGAGTGGAGAGGTTGCCTGAAGTCAGTGGAAGATTGGATGCAGGGTTCCCACGGGTCCTTGAAATCCTTGAAAGTTTGTGAAATAGAAAAATGATTTCAAGGCCCTGGAAAGTTTGTGAAAACATCCAAAAATTACACTTGTCCTTGAAAGTCCTTGAATGTTTTTTTGGGGATTGAAGTTTTCTATTCACACAACTAATTTTCATAATCTGTAAAAAAATAATAAAATAAAATTTTTAAAAAACTGTTGCGGTGGATAACTCAGGATTACTGTAAATTGACGTGGCTTTCAACAAATAACGTGAACCATAGTCATAGTTTTACCCAATCAGAGCAGAGTAGGGCGGGTCGTTCTTCCTGAGCCCAGGTGAGAGCATCACAGCTTCTGTCCTCACCAAGCGTCTGGATGTGTTCACATCCCCTCCTCCCAAACTGAGCTTCCCAACCTCCCAGAACATAATTACATGTCCGTGTATTGTAGATATGAATGTAGGGTGTGCATTTAATCCACTTTATTTCATTGATTCTGACTCAAAAACTTCTATGTTATTCAATTTTTCATTTAATTTACATGATATTAAACCTGTTTATTGGTAACATTCTGTAGTAGCAGTAGGTAATAGCATCGCACATGGTTCTTGAATTTAAGGAAATTGGTACTGGAAAGTCCTTGAAAGGTCCTTGAATTTGATGTTGACCAAGTGTGGGAACCCTGTGGATGAAATAAATTAGTTTGCAGTAAAATAAACTGCAACCTCTTTTAAATAAAACAACAAACCACCTTTATAGTGTCACTATTTAAAGTTTATTTTATTTTATTTATTTATTTGTTTACTGTGTGACAACATTTAACATCGCTATCAATAAATCTGTTTAAAAAATGTCTCTCAGTGTAAAATAGGTTTAAAACAAACAGCTTCCTAAGAGGAAACAAAGTAAAGGTCTGTTGAGCAAAACGGACACTTTTAGTCCTGACTTCTTAATATTTATGTGGGAGCTCTGTGAAAAACCTGTGCATTATTCATTCATTTGTTCATTCAGTGCCACACCCACCCCCTGCTTTTCTACAACCTTTGTGCTAACCTATAAAGTATTACGAAACATGATTTTCACCAAAATAAATTTTAAATAAGTGGTCATAAAGATTTATTTGGTTTTTATTGGCCATAATAAAGCAGCTCCAGTCTCCCAGACATAAACTGTTCCTAGCCTTGAAAGTTGGTCCTGGTCCTGAACTGGTTCTGAACTATGGAAATCCAAAGAACTGGTTCTAAATAAAGGATCAGACCTAAATCCACACTACAGCTTCTGTAGGTGAGTTTTAATGTGAATTACAGGCCTGTAAAATAAGCTAGAAATGACTCCATAAAGGAACAGAGCGTTTGCTGGATAGCTCAAGTCAAAATGTTTTAAGGTTGTTTTATCTCCCTGTATAAATTACTGTTAAGTAATTGGTTTTCTCTCAACCAGATATTTGCTTTTCTGGTGACTCTTTGCTACGGCTGCAGCTTGGTGATGGGATTCAAGAGATGGACGAAGTAACGAAGAAAAAAAACATGAACACTAACTAACATTCCGCCTGGTTAACAACTTCAGCACATCTGCCTTACAACCTCGACCACACAACCCCGTGAACCCCTGAAGTTCAGCTCAGTGACGTTGAATCTTATTCTGACTGTCGGGGAGCGATCGCCACTTCCAGCTCTGTAAACAGGTGACTTTCAAATAATTAGGCCGGCACTGTTACCGTAAAGGTCTCGCCTATGTTCCAATCAGCTGTTGGAGGTATTTAGAGGTTAAGTTGATATAAACTGCAATAAAAATAAGAACAGAGCAGACCTTATCCTGTATTTTACGTAGTTATTTTAGATTTTTAAAAGTAATTTTGCAAGATGAAAACAATTTATGTAAGTGTTGCTTCTCACCTATGTAATTATACAGGTGGGATCCTTTTTCTAAAGTCATAAACTGAGTAAAAAAATAAAAAATTCATGGATAAAAATCCATATTTTATAAGTGAAGTGCCTGTGAGTGCTGCTCAGCAGATTAATTTAACATCGGTTTGTTTTTATTAAACCCAACCTGATTGGTTGTCATGCGTTTGGTGCTGAGGAGCTGGAGTTGAGTTAGACGTATAAAATTGACATGACTTGTTTTTACAGTAATAAAACTGTTGTACACATCACCTCTATATTTGACACAAAGGATTAATACTGTAAAACAAGAAGTGGGTAAAGTTACGCTGATGATTATCAATAAAACAAAGTGATATAATTCTAATGTTTGTAACCTGATGATATTTAGTTATTTATGTTCTGAATAGATTCTTATTAGTGTTTAAGTGTGTTGATGCGTTATTTAACTGCTTTTAATTGATTGTTTTATTCGGCGCACAGTTTATTTTATCGATGATCTCATTTAATGTACACTGTTGTTTGATTTTTAACTGAAAATAGTTTTTTGATTAAGGTTTGTTTTAACTCACATGCTTTTTAGTACAAAAGAAATAAATATCTTGTGTACAATTCTTGTAAGTGCGTCCTTATTAAGAGCATTTTCAAAGTCAGCTTTGCGAAATATCTGCTGTCATTTAGATTTGTTGAAAAAATATATATATTTTTGTTTTTAGTTTTTGGTTTTAATCCTGCTAGTCACTGATGAAATTAAGACTATTTTTTGTACAAATCCAGGCCATGACAGATTTGTGGATATGACATTTTTTCATAAAAGTAACAACAAAATGGCACAACAGAACTAGTCAGTGGAGGTGGTTCTGGCGTCTGATTAGGATGCCTCCTTGACGCCTCCCTTTAGGGGTGTTGTGAGCACGTCGCACTGGTAGGAGGCCCCGGGGAAGACCCAGGACTCACTGGAGGGATTCTGTATCCTCTCTGGCCTGGGAGCGCCTCGGGGTCCCCCAGGACGAGCTGGAACGTGTCGCTGGGAGAGGGATATCTGGGTTTCTCTCCTGGACCTGTTGCCTCCGCGACCTGACTACAGATAAGAGGAGGAAGATGGAGAACCAGAAAGGAGTGGACTGAAATCGATTTCTTAAAGTTTGGCTTATTTATCTTTTTTTGCAAAGATCTCTGTGATTTGACTTTTGTGCATTAAGTGTTGACTTTTTTCAGGCAGAAGAAGAATTGCTAATTATATTTATTCACTAAAAAAATCTAATTTAGAATTTGTGAGAATGTGTTAAAGCTTCAATATTTTATATTTACAGTAGCCTGTTTGAGAAAAATGTTGATTTATTCACCTTTACCCACCTCTGACTGCCCATTTGTAAGTTTTACAACTTTACAGTTACAGTTCAGATACCTGTATGTTAGAAGAGGTTTGGAAGATGCATCTAAAGAAGTCCTGTTAGAAAAAAATAAACACATGGGGATTATCTACTGTATAAGATGATCCACATTCCTGTATACTACTGCTCAACTTGTCTCTGTGTTTTGAAAGAAAACGTTCAATTATGTTAAGATGATATTTTATTAACTGAACACAATAAATAAACGTTTTTGCAATGACTTTTGTTGTAGTTTTTGTTTCACTCACTAGGTGTCAGCCTTTATTTGTTACTGATGAAATAGAAGTTTTTGTCATACATCACCAGCTGTAAGAATGTAATATTGCAGTCTCAGCATATTTTGTCTTAGACTCAATATTGTTTTAGCTAAAATAAAAATAAAAAAGCATTATTTACGTTTTTTGTTTTAGTTTTTTTATCACCCCTCAAGTGTGTGGTGTGTAAATACTGGTCTCTGCAGTTGTAATCATCAGTTCCGGTCTGTTTTAAAGCGCTCTAATGGTGGCGCTTTCACAATAAAAGCATCATAATAATAATAACATCGACGAAATATAGTCAAAAAACAGGCCTACAATTTTTGGTGGCGTGTCATTTTAATATTTAACACAAGCTCTGTCAACTTTAACATTCGACTGTATATCACTGCTATTTATCATGCTTACAAAACAGACACTAAACTCTGATTTACTGCGCGAGCTTTTGTTTTGACAGCCGGAAATGCGTTATTTTTCCCGCAAATTTGACACTTCATTCCCGTCCTGTTTTCCCCCAGTCTTCTGCTTCAGTACAGGGAAGACAGCGAGGGGTAACGGAGGGTGTTGGTATTTACTCACCTACCTACCTTTTATACGGAGTTTCATCACCAAACAAACACCCCGGAAGAGTTCTCGTTCTCTGCCGGACTGCACAGAGTAAATTCCCGGTCTTACCATGGATGTGAGCGGGCCAGAATGGAGGGAAGAAGGGGATTTAAATTTCTCCTCTCGTCCCAGCAGAATTTACTTGCATTGAGTTTAAACGGTGTTTCACGGCGCAACCGGACTGTGATACCAAAAATAAGTTATCTCTTTAATTTTTTAGACCACTAGGCATTCTTACTACCCGCTTTGTTCGTTTGCAGCCGTACTTTTTTTTTTTTGGAAGTTTTTGTTGCGTGTGTTCCCGGGGAGCGGAGGTGGAGCACGGCTTCACCGAGTCGGGACTGACCGCTGAAGTTGGTCCTGAAAATGGAGGCTGTTATCGAGAAGGAATGCAGCGCGCTCGGAGGACTCTTCCAAACAGTTATCGGAGACATGAAAGTAAGTTTGAAAACGAGCAAGAGCTGTACTAACCAACCACAAACCACTCAAACAGGCTAGTTAAACCAACTTATCAGTCCTTGTCTTCATAAAGTGTATTTGTTTATGTCATAGTAGGAAGAAGAGCCTGTCCAGACTACTTAATTCTGCAAAAATAATAATAAAATTCTACCTGGAATGCTGCATTATTTTTATGTATAAAACTTTAAGTTAATGCAGTCTTAATGAAAGTCTAATTATGGCCACAAGGTGAAACTGGGGCATCTTATTGATGGTATTCCAGGATAATGGGACAATTAGCAGATTCCCCTTCCAGCTGTCGTACTATGCCTGTAGGAATGTCGCTGTCAGGGCAGAAAATTACCCTCAAGGTATGAAAGACTTTGGCATGTGTAGGTCAAATGTCCCGCCATTGGGTCTGCTGGAGTCAGAAAGTTTGCTATGAATACTGCTGAGGTATTCAGCACCTCTCAGTATGTCACTCCTCACTGCAGTCTATCTGTCTCTTTACTGTAACACCATGCTGCCACATAGTGAACATATGCAAATGCTTTATGTGTTGGACTTTCCATGAACCATTTAAGTTGCCATCCATGTATGTTTTTGTGAAGTGTGTGTAGTTTGATTCTCTACTGGTTAGAGGTTTGTGTTCCTCTTAGAGGACAAGAATGGCAATGAAAAGTTGGGTTTGAAATGTTTTACTTTGAAAGGCTTTCTTTTGGAGAATCGTACAGCACACCTCTTAACAGTGAATTTGGGTTTTAGATAATCAGCATCAAGTCAAAATTGCACACAAACATTATATTTATTATTAATTTTACCATTGTTTTGAAGTCTTTTTCCCCCCACTGATAACTGGTACCTCAACTGGCAACAAGGACATTTCTTCAAACTATTTATTCAAAATAAAAATGAAAAACTTAGCAATACAAAATACTGTTTGGTATTGACAAGTACATACCTGGGGATTTCAGTTTTGGTACCCTGTTATAACTAACCAGTACATGCCAGTGATACACACTTGGTCTTCACAGAGTATATCTAATATGAGCCAGATACATACCCAGTTTGAATCCTGTGTGTATCAGGTATAAGTACTTGGTACATACCAGATATACATTTCTTGTAAGTACACAGTATGTGTCAGGTATGAACACTTAGTACCTAGTATGTGCCAGTTATTTACCTAATATTAGATATTTTCCAGGTAAGTACCTGGAATGTATCAGGTTGTATTTTATGTAATGCAACAACAACAACAACAACAACAACAACAACAATATAAAAAAGTTTAAAGCAGAACAGTTTGGATGATACAAAACAACAACTAATCTTGGAAACCACCATTGCCTTGTGACTTACGATATGTTTATTATTCCTGATTGTGACTGCTTAGTTCACGTCTATTTACAAATGAACAGAGAAATGATCTGATGAAAATGTTCCAACTTTCCAGTCATTGTACTTGATGAATGAGGAGGATAGAAACTGAGGAACCTGGTTAGAGAGGAAGATGAGGGGTGCGTAGGAGGACAATCAGAGGAACCATGGTGATGTAATGTAAGGCAGAGAGAAATGTGGACTGAGGCTTGGAGGGGTGAGTTGGTTGTTGGGTGCAATGTTTGACATGAAAACATGACATTCCTTAGCCCCCTGACACTAGTGCCACATTAGTGACAAAAAATGTACACATTCTGCAGTCATCGTTTTCTCTTCTGTCCAAGCCTTTTGTTCTTTTCTTTTTTCACGTTATGCCACTCGTCCTGTGCCACAGCATCAGTACAGAGCACTTCAGGTCCTTAGTGCAGGAATTTGGAAAAATAAATCCAAGGTCCATCTGGAGCTGGGCTCATTATACTGGGGTGTTAGTGCTTTCTTTGTGTTGGAAACTTTCCAAAGGAGGCCCATGACCCATTTTTCAACCTAGCACTCGTGGAGGACATGATGGTAATCTCTATTTTTCAATTCAACAAAGAGTAACAGAACTTATGCCTATAATTGAGTGAAATGAAAGCTATTTGTACTCGATAGCTCAATTGGCTGTGTTTTATGATGCAATTTTCAACTGATAGCCTAAATTCTGTGCAACCCTCAAATGTAATCACTTCATGAGAAAGCTGGAGCTGGGATGATTTAAGCACTGCAGGTGATAATCGACGCTCAAAACAGCGTCACTGCGTGAATCATAAAACCTGTTCTGATGACGAGATTGCATCAGTCATTTTTATCTCTTTTCTCCCACAGAGCAGCTACCCAATTTGGGAGGATTTTATCACCAAGGCAGGAAAACTGCAGTCACAGCTTCGGTGAGTGTGTGGTTATATAAGAATACAACATTTATTTTAATTTTCTAAGAATACAAACTCAACATATGGATAAATACACGATAGCTTTTGAGTTTTCCAAACTGTATCATTAAAGCTGCAGTCTGTAACTTTTTAAAATATATATTTTTGACACATTTGTTAAAACTGTCACTATGTCCTGACAGATTGATATTAGACA